GAAAACTAAAAAGTAGAACTAGGAAGAAAGAAATAAAAATGACATTACTCACAGATAGTATGATTTTATACATAAGAGACACCAAAGTGTTTACTGATAAATTATTAGCACTACTACGTTTTATAAGATTACTAGATATAAGACCAATATACAAAAACTAATTTGGAAAGGAGGAAAAGTATATACCTCCTTTTGGAGGGGGGGAGTATTTGTGTATATTAAAAATATTTTTGCCTTATTTATTAAAATGGCTTTGTATCAGTTTGGACTCATGTACATTTATTTTATACTTTGATTTATAGCCCATTTGTTACCCATTGTTCTTCAGCTTTGGCCAAGGGAAGCTGGTTCCCATGTCCTTCTGACAGGCTCCTTCTGGTTATTTATCCCTGTTATTTGTGCACTTTTCTTATTTTTTTGATTCTACAGGATACTCCAGGCTTATGTGTATTTTCCATAACCCAGAATCATCAGTTTCTCCAAGGATCCCAGGGACCTTTTATTGGAGAACAGTATTTAGAAACCAAGATCTAGGTGTTGGGTTGGGTGTGCTTGTTGCTACAGAAGTATTACTGCTTCTAGGCTTTCTCAGACAACAAAACTAGGCAATAGATGTATGTACACTAACCCATGCACACACGTGTCTATGTTTCTGTATTTATATACCCACACATTGTAAGGTAAATAGGAGTTTATGCTAATGTCCCCAACTCTAGTCTAGTATTGTGGGGTTTATTTTAATGTTCATATAACTAAACCAAGAAATGCGCTTTTATGGGAGGAGTGAAACAGTTTCAACTGGATCTAGCACTTAAAGGCACGAAAACACAATATTTTTTGTCTTATCATCTTTTGTCTCAGCTTCTATATTTGTATTGGCCTTACTGTCTTTGGTCCTTTCATATGTCAGGGGGCCTGGTTACTAGGAGCTCTAGATTCATATCTGTATAGCTATCAATTTAAAGGAGGTGCTTCCTTCATACCCAAACTCTAGGATATACTATTGTGATGTGCTGACTGTCTACTCCTTGCTTTTTCTCCCCATTGCTGCTTCCCAGGACACCATACAGACAAAGGTATGGAATCTCTTGACTGTCTGGGGCCTGCAGGTCAAATCTCCCATCCCATTACATACAAGAGCCCCTCTGAGGCCTGGGGGCCATATCTGACAAGCTGTAGTAGTCGTCTCATCTCATTGTATAGTCATTCTCTCCTCTTCTTTCCACTCTTACCCTCGCTCCCTCTCTTTCCTCCCTTGACCTCACTTTCCATCTTTTTGTCCATTCTTGTGTCCTCCATACCTTGACTGGAGAGACTTGGATTATTGTTCCCTGGAGATGACTCTCAACACTCCTTGGACATTTTGAATAACTTGAGCCTCTTTTCTACTCTCATTGGTGATGTCCCTGGTCCAACTTCAAGCATGAGGCTGATCCCAACATGACAAGGAGAAAGAGGGCAAGCTGATTCCTTTCTTTACCTTTATCCAGAAAAGTCCTGGAATCTCAGGAGCATAGCAAGAGGTAAAAGAGGGAAATCAGGACAGACTTTTCTTTCTCACTGCAGCAATGATTTTTGCTCACTCTAGATTGAGCCAAAGTTCCTGTTCTGTTAGGAAGAGCAGGTCCTCCCTGGGTGTGCAGGAGAACCGTCCACTTCCCTGGCTAGAAAATGTAGCTGAAGCACTTGCTTTGCTCTGTCTTTCTTGTTCCAGGCCAGGGGCCACATACAGCACCCAAAGCTTGCAGGGGAGAATTCTCAGTAAATAACTGCACATGATCATGGCCATAGAACAAGACATCGTGACTCACTCCTTCCCTGAAAAATGGGAAATGAAACTTCCTCTGGTTTGGTACTTTTACATCTACCTCCTCTGAAACTCCAGAAGGCCCTCAGCCAAGTATTCCTGCTTCTTTCTCAGCTTTCTCATGCTCAATCAGCCTTTTGTTCAGAGTTCAGCAGAGTATTTACCTGAGGCTTATATTTCCTTTGCTTGGAGTAAATGCCTCCCATCCTCCATCCTTCTTATACAATGAGTCCAAGATTGGGGAAGTTTCCTGATCCTTTCCTGGGACCACTGAGAAGAATGTGGGAGTTCTATTAATAACTCATGCAGGACCAGCAGCGATTTGGGAAAAGTCACTTCTTGGCAGGAGAAAGGAGGGACATGACATTACAAAGACATGTTGTATGGTAGCTCCTTTCCTCAAATACTCCTTTGAACAGGATCTAGATAAGTTGGATTCTTTTCCACCTCTAGGTCCTGGACTGTGACAAGTTGTGGATGTAGGACCAAGAACAGCAGTGCTGAGGTGACTCTGGGATCAGACTGGTTACCAAGTATAGCAGTCCAGAAGCAGAATGTTCTAATTCCTTTGAAGCACTGGTGGAACCAAGGTTCTGCAACCAGATGAGCAGCCCAAAGAGAGAAAGTATGTTCATATAACTTTCAAGTCAGCCTCTCAGTTTAGGGAGTAGTTAACGCCAAAGGTGAGAGAAAACAGTGGCCCTAGAATCAGGGCAGTGGGAAGAAGAGGTAGGTAGCTTGTGGAAGGCAAATGCCAGTCCATAGTCTGAAGAATCATGATCAGCCGTAAAGTCTTCCATTAGCTTACAATCCATCCATGCATCCACCGCCTTCCTTTCATTCACTCATCCACCAATCCTTTATGCACTCACTCAACTTTTCATTCATCATTCTTGTCCACCCATTCATCCATCCTCTATCCATTCAGCCACTGATTTTCTACCCATCTACCCAACCCATCTATTCATCTATTCAATTATCTCTACCAATTTCCTTCCTTTTCTCCATGCCTCTGATCTTCTTTTCCTCTTCTCCCTTCCCTTTTTCCTACCCTAGAAATATTTGTCTAGAAACTGCTAGGGACCAGGTTTCTCAGATTTGGGAAATTTATTTAAAGCATGAGAAGCTTCCCAGGAATCAATGAGGTCTTCATTGAGCCTCAGATTTTTTTCCGTAAGTTTATTGATACATTTTAGGTATGCATTATGATCACATTCATCATTGGGATTTGTACCTGTGCATGATCTAGCTTGGTTCTTGTCTTTTTCCCATCCCCCTTCCCTTCCTTTCACTCTTCCCTATTTACAAAAGCTTTGTTTTCATTTTTTCCTCCTTTTCTCATACTTTTGCTTTCCCTACTTTCCTTTTCCCCACCTCCTCCCTACTTTCCCTTCCACTTTGGACCTTTTCTTCCTATTTCACATTATCTACTATGCATTTTGGTCCTCATTTACACTTTCAGTTATTCATGCCAGAAAAGAATTCAACATTTACACATGTACTTTCTATTTATTTCACTTAAGACTATGGCCTCAATGTGCATCCATTTAACTATAAATGTCTCTAGTTTATCATTCTTTATGGCCGAGTAGTGCTCCATTTAGAAAAAAAAATCACATTTTCTTTATTCAGTCACCAGTTGATGGACATTTGGGCTGTTTCCAAGATTTAGCTATTACAAACTTCTATAAACATGAGTGCACATATATCACTGTAGTATGATACTTTCAATTCTTTAGGGAAGATACCCAGTGGGGGAATAGCTGGGCCCTATGGGATTTCTAATTCTAGTTTTTTGAGGAATCTCCACACTGATTTCCACAGTGGTTGCACCAGTCTGCACTCCCACCAACAGTGGAGAGGGGTTTCTTTTTCCCCACAGCCCTGCCAGCATTTTTCATTGGTTGATTTCTTCATAGCAGCCACTCTTTCTAGAGTGAAGTAGAATCTCAGTGTTGTTTTCATTTGCATCTCTCAAATGACCAGTGATGTTGAACAATTTTCATATGTTTATTTTGAGCCTCAAATTTGTTCATCCATGCCCTAAGCATCTCCTACATGTGGAACTCTGCATTGAGGGTTACAAGGAGGAAGAGAAGAGGTGGATAAACAGATGAAAGTAAAAGAGAAAAAATGGTCTCTAGTCAGATGTTGCTGAGCCTTCCTACTTTGAGATATTAGCAGGTGCAAAAAGCAAAGAGGAGAACCCAAGTCTTACATTTATCTTGAATTTCTTAAGTTGCATTTCCAAAAGGGATATGTATCAGCTAAGATGCTTTAACAACATAAAGTGGAATATTTTGTTTGATCTCTTAACTGGTCTCTCTGCTGCAAGGATTCTACACTGCAATTATGCTATTCATCATGACCAGAGCGGTCTTTCTACAATGTCCTTGCCCTCATCGATCTTCTACCTGAAGCACTCCATTGGCTCAGTGTTAGCCAAAAGACAGAAGTCAAACTTCTTAACATGATATAAAAGGATCTTCATGAACTGATCCCAGGTGTCTCTTTAGCCCTGCACTCTCTCCTGCTGTACACCTTGCATTCACATAGGACTGAAACTATTTATAGTTTCCTAAGAATTCCATGCTGGCTGTGGCCCTGGTTGTTGAATATGCTCATCTCTTTTCCTGGAACTTTTTTTTTTTTTTTTTTTTTTTTGGTACCAGGGATCTAACTCGGGTCCTTGCGCTTGTGAGGCAGGCAGCATTCCTGGAACTTTTTACCATGACTCTGTTCTCTGTACTTTTTTTTGAAACTGTGCATGTTTATATGGTGCTATGCTCAGCACTTATAGTATAATTTATTTTCTCAGGTCTGTCTTTCTTATCAGACTGTGGACTACTTGAGTGAAAAGACTGTGATTTATTAATCTTTGTGGCCCTGGGCCTAGTTCAGAGTCTGATACCTAGAAGGCAATTAGTATGTGTTTGTGGTGTGAATGGATGGGTAGGTGGATGAGGGTATCCTTACAAGAGAAATGAGATAGCTTTGGGATAAGATGGTTAAAGTGTCCATGTAACAGACTCCTAGAGAACAAGACAAATGGCTTCTTCCTGAAAGCTTAGACTTTTGGGGAAGGAACTAAGCTGTGGCCTCAGCCTCACTGTCTAAGGTGTCTAAGCCAACAATGGGGAACTTTGGGATGACACAGTGACCTGCTGTGGAACTCACTTCTTGTTTTCTCCAGATAAAAGGCATGGAGGAGAGGATCAGCCAGGACTACCTGTGCTGCAAGAGCCAGTGTTGGGGTGTGGAATGAAGGCTGCAGAGAAGGAAGCCCCTGATGCACACTTCACCGTGGATAAACAGAACATTGCTCTCTGGCCTCGAGGCAAGTGCAGCCACTGCTCCAGCCCAATGGGTGCTCTGTGTCCAGACCACTCTTTGCTAGTCAATAACAGACCTTTGCTTCTGTTTCTTTCAGAACCTCCTCCTGAGCAGGCTCTGTCTCTGCATCTGAAGAAGCATCTCACCATCCGTGTAGTGTTAATCTGCTTGTCACTGGTTGTGGTCGCCTCCATTGTGCTGCAAGCTATTCTCTGTAAGTCCTTAGGATTCAAGGTCCCCTTGGTTCTTCTCCACCACTGGTTGGCTCCCTTGCATCCCAGACCTTCTCTTTCCTGCTCTCCCTGGTTTCTCAAGCTTACAGTGTTTCATTTATCTTTATTTTCCTCTCTCCATGTATGAGTGGATGCTTTTCCTTTCTGATTTCTGAGATGTTTTTCCCACTGGCATCCATGCTTGCATGCTTGTGCTCAAGGCATGCTATTCTTTCCCCAGGAAAGAGTCACCAATTAAAAAAAAATCTCATACCATTTCTCCCCTAGCTGCCTGCCACTCTGACCTCTGTGTCCATTGGATCGAGAGCCTTGTGGAAAGCCCTCGGCAGTGAGTGTGGTGTTTCCAGACCCTGCAAGGGACTGAGTTCCAAGGGTGTCCACTGCCTCAGCTGACCAGATGGAGAACCTGGCCATCAAGCTAGGAAATCTCTGTGGTTCAGTCCCCTCACCAGGACACCTCCATCCTCTCTTCATTCTCCTGTTCCTGTGAAGTTCATGTTAATGAGACTTATTCCTCCCAACAGGTTGCTAGAAAGTAGAGTGAGGGAACATCTGTCTTTTCAGTGGCTCATGACATATTCTGTTTCAGATTATAGCTTCTTAGCAGTAACCTATGCTCCAATCACATACCCCATCCCAGATGCTAGTCTCTAACATTGCCTTTTCTCTGTACTCTCCTTTGACTGCTCTTCGTTTGTTTTTGACTCCCTCCAATGCACCCAAGCCTGCATTGAACAGAATGTGAAAGTGGGCAAGGCAAGTGTGTTATGGCTTATGTCTAGATACCCGCCCCCCACAGCCTCATGTGGCCATAGGTGGGACTTTTCAGAGGTGTCTGGATCTAGAGTTCGTAATGCTGGGATTGAGGGGTCTGATTACTAAATGAGTCCACTGATTGGTTTGGCATAGTTCTGGGTGTGGATAATGGGAAGGCCCACCCTGATGTCATTGCTACCCACCCTAATGGCGTGTAGCCTGGACAGAATATAAGGGACAGAAAGTGGGCTGCTGCTGTCATTGCTCACTGTGCTACCTCACTGCCTCCTGCTTTGCTGCCTTTTGCCTTCTGCCTGACATGAACTATTCTCCTCTGCTGTGCCACCCTGCCTTGGAGCCAGACAACTATGAACTGAAACCTCTGCAAACTGTGAGCCACAATAAACCTTTCCTCCTTTAACTTTTGGGCATTGGGTATTTTATCTCAGTAATGAGAAAAGTAAGTAAGACAGCAAGGGAAGGGGAGAAATGGCTTCTTCTGTCCCTTTGCATGCTCTCTGGAGATAAAGAAGTGTCTAGACTAGGAGTCTGCATACCTGGCCCTTCCCATAGTCGTGGAGGGGACTGTGGACCGAGATGGGAGGAATAGCGCTGCTCCCTGGATATCTCTGAAATGAGAAGGCCAGGGACCACTTCTGGGGCCTACAGGGACCAAGTAGTAGAGAGTGATGGGGGTGACTAAGGGCATCCCTGTACCAAATTTACCTTGAGTATTCACAGGAAATTCAGGACTGAGATCTAATCCCTGCTTCTGGTTGCTTGTGAGGTCTCTTATAGGCCTATCTTCTAACAGTCTGCACCTCTCAGAATTCCGGGCACATGTATGTGGGCACCCATTTCATGTGTGCTGTACATTAATGAATGATTGGAGAGTAAATGGCAGTTTCTTGGGAAGCTTGAGCCTGATCCTTCCCTTCATTCCTTTTATTGCGCTGACAGCACACCCATTCCTTCCCCAGGGGATCCTCTTATTTGACCTCTTGACTTTTCCCTATCTAGATCCCTGGTTTATGGGCACAATTTCAGATGTAAAGACCAATGCCCAGATGCTGAAAGGTCGTGTGGACAGCATGAGCACCCTGGGTTCTGGAATTGAGAAGAACAGTGATGGCGTGAAGGTGGCTAGCTTTCAGATACAGATGGTGAATGCCAGCTTGGATAGTGTACATTCTCAAGTCCTGATATTGAAAGCCATTGTGGGGAAAGCCAATGAACAGATCCAGAGCTTAAGAAGAAAATGGGAGGAAGTTAATCATTTGAATGACCAAATTCCAGAGTTAAAAAGAGATTTGGATAAAGCCAGTGCTTTGAATGCAATGATCCAGGCACTTCAGAACAGGCTGGACAATATCAACAAATTGCTCAGACGACAAAGTAAGTGACTCAGGAAATAACATTACAGGATGACTAGTGGCCCCTGAGACCTTGCCATCTTAGTGATGAGAGCCCTGGGCTAGTGGGTGAGCAGGTGAGGGTCAGGCATGGACCAGAAGTTAAGGAGAGAGGGCTTAGCGTTAGGGTTGAGGAGGATTTAAGGGATTTTTAAAAGGTAAAAGATTTATATGATCTGAAGAGAAACTGGAGTATTACTTAAGGGATTTTAGCAAAGAAGACAATATAATCCATCTTGGACCCCTCAAACTGAGGTGCAGAGCCCGAAAAATACAGGGAATGGAGCCTTTGTCCTGGCCCAAGCCACAGCATTTCCCATAATGTTCCTTATTTCAAGCTCTGGGGCTCAGCCACCTGTTACGGCCAGTAGAGAATCACTTTTCCTGCATGGGAAAGTCAGATTTGCAGTCCATCCCCTCCCACTGTCTCTTCTCCAATCCCATAGGCCCTATTCATCAGTTTCAGTAGGACTTCCAGGATCTAAGAGAGGGTCTCCAAACCCGTATACCAGTACCCAAGGATCTCAGAGCCCAGCCCCATTCACTGCTGTCTCTGGGATCCCACTCAAGTACCCTGCCCTGGTCCTCACCCCGAGGAAACCCGATGCTGCATTCACCTTCAGCCCCTATTCTCCAGGTGACATCCTGCAGATGGTTTCCCAAGGCTGGAAATTCTTCAGGGAGAACTTCTATTACTTTTCTCATGTGACAAAGACCTGGTACAGTGCTGAACAGGTCTGTGTGTCTAAGAATTCACACCTGACTTCAGTTACCTCCCGGGATGAGCAGGTGAGTGCCATTCCTACATGCTCTGTGATGGGGTTGTGCTGGTAGCTGTCTTGGGGAGACTGGGCAAGATTATGTGGTGGAAACACAATCCCCAAATATTGGCAACCTGACTGGGGAAGATTATTTCTTGTTTACACTACATATCTAAAAAGGCTGCTCATTGTGGGTACTCAAGGGCCTAAGCTGAAGGAGAGTTAATCTTAATGTGTGTCTGTAAGTGCCAAAGCAGGAAAAGGGAACATGGAAAATTGTGCATTTGCTCTTAAAAGCTTCTCCCCAGAAATAACCACATTGATTTTGCTCCTATTTCCTTGGTGAGAGCAAATGATGCAGTATTCCTAGCTTCAAAGAGGTTGGGGAGGGGTCCTCTTTCCAGGTGCCCAGCCAGCAGAGCTATTTGTCAACAATATACTGCATGACTCAAGAAATTTCCTTCCTATTGAGGCAGAATATTGAGCAAGTCCCTTTCATTTGGGGAAGAGAAGGTAAGAGCATGAGCTCTGGAGTAGTCTAGAGTTCTAACCTGCCATCTCACTAGTCCTAGACCCCTGGGTAGAAGACTTATCTCCAGTAAGCCTCAGCCTATGAACTGATGACATCTTGATGATAACAGTACCTACCTCAGAGAATGAGGAAGAGATGCACAAGAAGTTCTTTCCTATGTGCCTTGCACATTTAAAAGCTTGTTGAGCCAGGAGTGGTGGCTCACACCTGTAAGCCCAGCACTTCGGGGTGGGGGGGCTGTAGCAGGAGGATCACTGCGAGTTCAAGACCAGCGTGTGCTACACAGTGAGTTGCAGAGCAGTCTGAACTGCATAGTGAGACCCTGTCTCAAAAAACAAACAAACAAACAAACAAAACCAAAAGGGGAAAAAAAGGCTTGTTGAAGGACTCTTGGGGTCCCTGCTCTGAATTTTAATTGACTCTCTCATACTCCTGCTTCTAAGGAACAGAAAGACCTGAACCCTAAGTTTGTTACTTGTAGAGAAAACACAAATTAAAATTTGGAAGATGGACTCTGGGTTCTAGACAAGAGCCAGCAGAGGCTTGAGAGAGGCCAATGTGCAGGGTGTGTCTGTGAGTTCAAGAGCTGTCACTAGCACAAGAAAGGGTTATCTGCAGACAGGTGCACAGACTTGAGGTTGTGCCTGCACTTTTGCTCATTCTGTGTCCCCCACAGGAGTTTCTGTACAAGATAGCTGGTGAACTGCCAACCTGGATTGGCCTAACCAAGGCAGGAAGTGAGGGGAAATGGTACTGGGTGGATGACACTCCATTCAACAAAGACAGTGTGAGGTAAGCCCCACAACCTTTCTTTCCAGTCTTACTTTCTTGGGCCAGGGCCAGTGCATGGAAGGTTGGGAATGTTTCCCATGCACACAAGGTTTGTGATTTGTCCTTGTAGTAGGGACAGAAGGAGCCTTGGAACTGAGATGTTGTCACCACTGCCACTCATTGGGTGTGGAACCTGGGACCAATCTATGACTCTCTAGGCCCTGTGCAGTTTGACAGCAAGGCCTTTTGCCCAACTTGGGCAGGAATCTTGATGAATGTCTAGGTCTTTGCAGAGTGTGTTTGTGGGCTTGAGAATGGCAGGGTGGTATGAGCTGAATTTGGGGCATGATTAGCAGCTTAATGGTTGAAATCTCACCAATCTCCTCCCTCTTAGGCTTGGGATCATTATTTTCCAATTTTGTAAATACACTTTTATTTGTTTTTTGACTCCATAGGTTCTGGCTTCCAGGTGAGCCCAACAATATGGGGAGCAATGAACACTGTGCCAATATAAAGGTGCCCTCTCTCCAGTCCTGGAATGATGCTTCCTGTGACAACAAAGTGCTTTTCATCTGTAAGAGGCCCTATGTTCAGTCAGAACTGTGATGGCTGGTCCCCCGGTTTACCCGTGAGCTCTGGGGCTGGTTAAACTTGAGGAAATGTCCTCACTGCCTTTCAAACTCCAGGACGACTTTGTACCTTAGGTTTTCTTGCTGCAAAGTTGTCCCCAGATGCATGTTGGAGGTCATCTGTTTTGGCTGGGAATTCTCTGACCCCACAGGGGCTGCTGGAATGGGAAGAACTTGAGTTAAATGAAAGAGGAAGGAGGTCATGATTGAGAAGTTCATCCTGCCTTGGTGAGGCAGATCAGCACCCTAAATCTGTGCTATCGCTTTGAGCTTTCATCCCTTTAGGGAAACCTCGTTTGTATCACATAAAAGTTACACAAAGAAATGCTCACATTTGAGGAGATGGATATCTTTACCCAGATTGAAACTATACACGATGTGTACATGTATTGAAACATATGGTACCCCATAAATATGTACAATTTTTATATTTTTAATGCATCAGTTAAAAATAAATTTAAGTTTTAAAAAGAACAAAATATGAAAAAAAAGTTGCTTCATATCAATCAAGCAAGGCTCCTGATAGTGTTGCTCAGGACTTTTCCTGGTCAATCCCCCAAATTGCCTGCTTAGGCGTGCTGGTGGCTGGCAGATGGCCATGTTTTCAGTGGGAAACTCTTCTCTTGGCCACCCTGTTCATGCCACCTGCCCATTGCCCTCTTCGTGCATGTCCTCTGAAGCCTGAGCCCCTTTAAAGCTAACCTGGTGTAGGTCAGGGGCTGACATGGGCCTGTATCTTTTGAGTGGTGCCAGCATCCTTCCTCCCTCCTTATTCTCACTTACTCGACTCCTCTGCCACCCAGGTGCCCACCCCTGCCTTTTGCCTTCATCATCTGCCCAGCCCCATCTCTGACCAGACTGTCCCTGCCTCCTCTGTACCTCCTCTCTCCAGTGTTTCCTCTCCTGTGCTTTGTGCAGGGAGTACTCTCTGGGTATCTAAAAGAGTTCTCTCAAAGCTTCTTTAGAGAAAACACTGCTTGGGTCAACACCTCCCTCGGTGTGCACTTTATCATTGCTGTTTGCTTTGGAAATGGCTGTCTGCTTTACTGGACATGAAATCCTGGGTACCCTCAGGATACAGTTGGAGCATCACAAATGGCAAAAATTAGGAACATTCTTGCCCTAGAAATGCCACCAAATATGAACAGTACTTATTTCTAATTTTTATGGAAATTAAGGAGAGAAAGATGTGCAGTACGGATCTCTCTTCTCAGGTGTCCCTGGACAGTCTTCTGTTTCCTAGCTTTGTTGCCAAGGAGGAGGTGTATTAAGTTATCTTCACAGAGATCTTATTTGTAGGAACTGGGTCCACATTCCAAGTCCAGGAGCTAAGGCAGGCATGCAGGATGGGTTTACCCCAGACAGGGAGGCAGTAGAGAGAAAGAAGGAGGATCACAGGGTGAGCATTGGGTGTGTGGGATGGGTTGGAGGAAGGCTCAGCAAAGATGTTCTATTAGGGCCCCCATTAGGGTCCTGGGGAAAGGACATTTTCCTCACATGAGTGTTGCCAAGGGGTTAGAGCTGAGAGCATATGCTTACGTGACATCTTTGAGCCTCACAGGGCCCCAAACACCTAACCCCAAGTTCCTCTGCTGTCCTCACCCTGCTGAAAGATTCCCACCTGGCTGATTCCCATGATCACTGGACAAGGTGTGTTTCACCCAGTTTTCAACTTAATAGCTTCCAGTTCCCTGCTAGCCTGGAAAGTTGTTCAACAAGTCAATCATATTCTCTTACAGAAGTGATGTGTGTGTGTGTGTGTGTGTGTGTGTGTGTGTGTGTGTGAGACCTCATTTCCTTGTTTCTAGGATCCCAGTCAGCCACAGCCTTGCTAGTTTGCTCTGCTCCAGAGGGCAACCTCAGGGGGCTATGCATAGCAGATAGTCCTTCCCTCTCAGACTGAGAGTGTATGTGACTAGCAAACTGCTGTTAACCTCATCTATTCGTTGTCAAATGTCATGTGTTTCCCCCATCTGGTACTATTTACAATGGAGAATTGCTCCCTCACCAACAGATGAATAGGAGGTTATCAGAACCAGGCTGGTGTGGGGGGGATCTATGATTCATCCTGGTGTGCAGAGATGAGCTGGGAAAAAACAGCCCATTTATTTGGAAAGAAGGTGAACTGGGATATATGCAGGGGATGAAGCAAATAAGAGAGGGAAGTTGGGCTGCGGGGCCAGGAGTTAGAAAAAGTCTGGGGGACTTTGGTACCTGTAGAAACTAAAAGTCAGCAGAAGCAAAGAAAAGAGGCAAGGGAGAGAAGAGAATGTGCGGCAGAGCAGAAAGTGGCCACGACACAGAGGTGGTGGGCACCACAGACCTCCACCCAGATCCGGCTGCTGAGGTCCCCGTATTGCTTTGCCTTAGATCCTTTGTTTCTCCCAGCTTTCTGGTTCCCATGCACATGGCTTCTATGAGAAGACATCCTTCTCCCCAGTTTCACTCATTATTTTTCCTTGAAACTGAGAGAGCCTGAGTTGGTGAGGGTGTGTTTTCACCTGTAGCCTGCACTCTATCCTGTGATCCACATGCATAGCGTTGCCCTGGGTTCCTCTTTCCTGGCAGCTAGGACATCTGCTGCTATGCACTTCCCTGTGACCATGGGTCCCCCCTCCTACCTGCAGGGCTTGTGTCTCTTCTTTTCCAACAAAAATTGAAAACTTGGTTCTATGCCCATCCCTGAAGCATTAAGAAAGTTCGGGGAGATGGGGTATGTGTATCAAGTCACCAGCTCGTCCTTCATTCTGGGATGGAGATGGGTTCAACTTTGCCTGTATCAGATGGACTGAGGAAGAGGGAAGTGTGATTTTCCAAGTGCACTCTGGCATGGCGCCTATAGCAGGGAGCCCTGTGAGCCCTTGGCTGCCAGAGCACCTGTCTGCATCCTAGCTCGGGCCTTTGCTTGTCATCAAACCATTGGATCTAGCCATTCGCTGGAATAACTCCATCAACCCATGCTGTTTAGGAGTTGATAAAATAACTGAAGCACTTCCCGGATGTTTTCAGCTACTGGTCTATAGTTGCTAAACTAGGGACTCTCCTTTGGGTGGGGGCAGGAGAAACAAACACCTGAGTGACTCCGCCTGTGGAGTGGTTTTGTAAAATGCTATTTGTCTCTCTTTGGCCAGGGGGTAGAGAAACCTGTCATCGAGGCTATATTGTAACCTCCTGGGTTTTCTTCCTTGGGGGCAGATGGTACTTGGGAAATATAAGAGTTGGGACTCTGGGGTAGGGTGGGAGGTAGCAGGGCGGGTGGTGGAGACAGGGAAGGCAAGGCAAGAATTCCTACTGACTATAGTTGGGAAAACTTTGCCCTTCTCCTGGCCCAGACTCTGCTGGTTTGCTGAGCAAGGGATCCCCAAAGTTCTGCTTTCAAGGCCCCTGGAGAAAATAGCTACTAAGCAGATCTAGTCTGACTCTTCCTGTATGTGGAGAAATAGAAACCAAGATGGGCTCTTTCCTTTCAGGGCTGTCTCTGGGGAGGAAACTTCAGTGGCTCCCATTCCCTGCAGAGAAGGGGCTTGGCAGATGCTGCTGGAGCCTCTGCCAGGGCTGCAACTGGTTCGGAAAGGGGTGCCTGCACAGCCTGTGATGCCTTTCCTCCTGTCAGATCAGCTCTCAAAAGATGGGAGGTCAAACATAAAAGATGAGGTTCTGCACTGTACATGCCATGTCTCCCCCCACAGGACCCATCATTAACTGGGTGAAGGTAGCTGCTCTATAGGTTAAGTGCCCATGGGCTAGGTGCTTTCTGGGTTGAAAGTGGCCTCCATGACACAGGCTTCTCCCAGAACTATGCTGCAATCTTGGTCCCTTTCAGTTTGGCATCCAACCACTGGATTTTACAGTCTTTTTCTTGGGGGGTGGGTACCAGGAATCAAACTCAGGACCTTGTGCTTGTGAGGCACCACTGAGCTAAATCCCTAGCCCTTTATGGTCTTTTTAATCAATGACTTGAAGCCTATTGGAGGCTGACCTCAGGATTTGTGAAAAAGATATGGGAAAGGGACATGGGAACCAAGGATAAAAATAGGAAAACAACAATGCAATATGGGTAGAACAAGCTATTTGCAAGTCCATGATTGACAGCTTGTGAGAGTGAATGTGATGGGGGCTGACATGTAATTATACTTTTATGAGTTAAAGATATTGAGATCCATGTCAGTAGGATTATAATTATATGAAAGTAATGGGAGAAAGGGAAAACCACAGGACAAGAATCTATCAGTGTTGTAGCTTGTGTCTAGATGTTTCCTCAAATCTTCATGAAATGGAACTTTTTTAGAGATGGCTGGATCCAGAGTATGTGATGCTGGGGTTAAGGGTATGTGATTACTAAATTAGTCCACTGATTGGTTGGGCATAGTTCTGAGTGTAGTTAATGAGAAAACCCACCCAGGGTGTTATGGCTTGTGTTTAGATGTTTGCTCAAAGCCTCATGCAAGTGAAGTAGGGCTTTTTCAGGTGGCTGAATCTAGAGTGTGTGAAGCTGGAATTGATTCATGGTGCAGTGATAAGCTCAGGAGCACTAGGATTAAGGGGTGTGAGTGCTACATGCCCTAAGTAGTCAGGATAAAAGAAAAGGAGCAGGAAGATGCTGGTAAGGTCCTTTGCTGCTTTTATTGTTTTCTGTTGCCAGGAACTATTGTCTCTCTGCCATGTGCCACTAAGCCTGGAGCCAGCCAACTACAAACTGTAAGCTAAATAAACCTTTCTTCCTTTAACTTTGGGTGTCATGTATTTTGTCTCAGCAATGAGAAAAGTAACTCAAACACTGGGTGTGAGTGATACCCACCCTAAGGACATGTAACCTGGATATATGATAAGGGACAGAAAGAAGGCAGCTGTTTTCTTGCTACTTGCTGCTTCACTTGCTGATCTGTTGCCTTCTGCCCACCATGAACTGTTTCTCCTCTGTGATGTCCCTCTGCCATGCCACCCTGCCTTGGAGCCACCACCTATGCTCAAAAGCCTCTATAAACTGTGAACTATAATAACCCTTTCCTCCTTTAAATTTGGGTGGCATATATTTTGTCTTGGCAACAAGAAAAGTAATTAAAATAGTCAGCATCCCCAGAATTGACTTTGGGAAGGAGGCCTTGACCAGCCAGTGGAAATGTTGGTTCTTTTATCCTTTTTGTAGTCATGGGAACATCAGGTTTGGATAACTCCTTGGTACTGTACCCTATGATGCTTTGCTTCCTTTTTTCTAGTTCTAGATCCATCAAGTAGCAGAAGCCACCTGAAGCAGTATTTTTATTTTCCTCTTGGAAGGAGGTTATAATTTCAATTGAAAAGCAGAACATTAGGCACAGTCTCATCCTGAGAACTTGGTCTTCTCAGGGGGATGGATCCAAACTACAAAAGTTGAGGTATTGGATTCAGATCTCAACCTGCTTGGTAGCTTCTGCCCAAACATTTGATACCAAGTATTTTGTTTTGTTTTTTTCCTGATACCAACCAACTCTCTGGCACCAGCCTAGCCTCCAGCAGCTTAAGTGGATTCTGACACTAATTCCCTGAGTTTCAGACCTCACAGGTTAAGGGCATGGTCTACAAGAGGGGTTCCTAGGGAACTCATACTTCTGACTGGCTGAATATAAATCTTGAGGTTTCCCTGACAGCCCCTCAGTTTTGATGATTCATTAGAACAACTCACAGAATTGGGAAAACACTAAACTTAGTATTAGAGTTTATTGTAAAGAATGCCAGCAACCAGATGAAGAGAGACCTAAGGCGAGAGCCAGAAAGTCCTGAGCACAGGACCTCTGTGCAGTCAGGGTGGGCAAGTCCAACAACCAGGAGGCTCCTGGAATCTTATCACTCAAGAGATTTTATAACCCTGTCTCCAGCTCCTCTCTCCAACCTGGACTCAGAGAGCAGAGTGGAGTTGGGTGGCTGAAAGTTCCACCCTTTAATTATCTTTGGTCTTTCTGGGGCCAGTTGCCATCCTGAAACTACTTAGGGCTCCTGAGTCATGCATTAGCACAAACTTAAGTGTTATGGAAAGGGGCTTATTATGAATAGTAAGAGACACATCTATCACTCAGGAAAGGGAGGGTTTTAGGAACTCTGTGTCAGGACCCAAGACAAAGACCAGATTTTGGGAGAGAAGATTGAACCCAAGGCCTTCCTACTGAGCTATATACCCAGCCCTTTTTTTTTTTTTAATTTTTGAAACAAGGTTGAACTTTCAATTCTCTTGCCTCAGTCTCCCAGAGCACTGGGATTATAAATGCATACAACCATGTCCAGGTCAAATATTTTTTAAAACCACCTCAGGGCTGAGGATGTAGCTCAGTGGTACAGTGCCTACCTAGCATGCATAAAGTCCTGAAATTGATCTGCAACACTGCAAAAACAAATAAGCAACAAACAAACACACACACACCTCTTACCTCAAGTACTTCCCTCCCAGTAATCCTGTTGTAAAGTACTGAGTGGGCAGCGAGTTCCCTGCATCTTGCATTGATCTGTAAGGTCCTCCTTCACTGACCCTGCTATCCTCCATGACTTGCCCATTTAGTTAAGAGATACAGGGACTAGGGAGTATGAGTCAGCTGCAGTCACAAAGATGTTTGCTTTGCAAAGCTGAGGACCCCACTGTGGTGGTGTCTAGTCTTAGCCCCCAGAGAGCAGATAAATTTGTAATTCTGGAGCAGAGGCTAGCATTTGGGGTACTGGGGGCAGGGGTGCTAATGCAGAGGAAGAGGACAGGGCCTGGACTGATGGGTTCCTGGGAGTGCAAGGGGAGGGGCTGTGCTGGGCTGGATTTCTGCTGTGTCAGTAGGGAGAGAGTTTGTGAACTTGACAGGAGACTATAAATCTGGGGTTTCTCAGTTTCTCTTTCACTGTTGCTGGCTTGCAGGACGGCCTTTCCAGGGTGAGCGGGTGAAGGACTCTGAGATGGATGGTGATGCAGTCTACTTCTGCACAGACAGCCAATGTGTCTCCTTGCACCCCCGAGGTGAGAAAAGTCAAGGCGCAGCTTGCTTGTCCCCCAGCCCTCTGCACTCCTCTGTGGAAGGCTGGAGCTCAGCTCATTGCTAGTGTGGCCTCTTCAATGCACAGATAAGGGTGGAAAGAGGATCAGGCAGAGGATAGGAATACTGGGCACAGCCCAGTCTCTGCATGAAATCTCTCCAAACCCCTCCCACTGGTGACAGCAACCTGGGGTGCACTTTTTCTTGTATCAGGGATCTAACTCAGGACCTTGTGAGGCAGACACAGTGCCACTGAGCTAAATTCCCAGCCCTGAACTTTCAATTCAGATGGACCTGGTTTTGAACTCTAGCTCTGCTCATGGGCTGGCCCTGTGAAGCTTCTGGGAATCTGGGCTGGCCTCTCTCCAACCTTAGTGGGCTTTGCTGGGCACCCTTTGTCCCTTACCACAGTTTATAGAAAGCTCAGGCCCTTTCAGAACATCCTCAGTGTCGCTCCCATCCCAGCTGGAGAGGCTCCAGGATTCCCCCATGTGTGGTGTGGCGAGGGAACAGAGTGGTCCCAGAGGGCTGTGATTTTGCTCTGGACTCAGGTCTGGGTCCTGCTCTGTCCCTCCTTGTCTTATTTTCCTTTCTTTCTTCTTTCATTCTAACCGCGCTTTCGTTGTCCTACCCACTATGCCATGTTCAGTCCCTGCACCCGCAGCCTCCTTGGGATTCTGAGAGCCTAGTCTAGGCAGCATTTCTGCCTTTGCATTCCTACCAGTGCCCCACCGTGACCTCCAAGAATGATCCAGTGTGCTTCCTCTTCCTTCTCTGCAGCTCCAAGGGTGATAAGTGTGGCAGATATTCTCATCCTCTCTGGACAGAACAGGAGCTAAGTCAGAGAGCCTAGCTCTGTCCCAAGGCTGTACAGCCCCTCTCATCCTGGACCTTGGCTTCTCCTCTGCAGGGATGGACCCTGGGATGGTGGCTCCTACTGCCCCCAAGATGCTCAAGCTCATCCAGGGCACCATGATATTCATAGCTGTGACCTTGGTCTCTTCTCTTGTGGCTCTCTTTGTTGGGGGTAAGTTCCAAGGTGATGAGAACCCACTGACTCTCCTTTTGCACAGAGGACCCATGGGACCCAGAAACACATTCTCTGGTCCCATCTGCTCCAGAAGGATCAACCTTCTGCCATCACAGCCTAGACCACAGCTTTTCCAGGCACAGGCCACTGTGCAGGGGGGAGCCTCCTAAGAACTAAGGCTCATGGGAGAAACCGAGGGTGTCCTTGGTGCCATCTCTCTCTTTCTGGAATCCTAACCCTTGTTGGGGAGCCTGTTCTCTTGGGCCCAGGGCTGGGGATGGTGCTGACCTAGGAATGGGGTATCAGCTCTACAGCCCCGAAACCCTACATCAGAGGATCATCCTTCCTTCCAAGACTTTCAAGTCATGTTTCCGGGAGATAACACAACCGAACCTGTGGAACCCAATGGTGAGTAACCACAGTGGGGTAGAGGCAGGGAGGGAGCTGGGGCATTCAGGAGCCCAAACCCTGGGGCCAGCATCTTTTCCAACATCCTTAGGTCCTGAATGTGTTCCATCCTCCTTAGAAAAAAATAATCTTTTTTAAAAAACAGCTTATGGGGGTATAATAGACGCACAATATGGTGCACATAGTTTAAGTACACAGTCTGGTAAGTTTTGGTGTATGTCTATAATGTGTGTCTGTACTTGTGAAACCATCACCACAATCAAGATTTATCATCCAGCCCAAGTTTACTTGTGGCCCTGCATGATCCTTTCCTCTCCCTTCTTCCTTCAATCTCAGGAAAACACTGATCTGCTTGCTGTAACTACAGATTAGCTTTCTTTTTCTTTATGCCTCCTTAATCTTTCCTTGTAGTTTTCATTTTAGTTTTTGTGTAGTTTTCATTTTAGTTTAGTTTCTGTGATTTTCCTCTGGGACTCAAGTCTGGGCTCCTGCTCTGTTCCTCCCTCTTGTCTTGCTATTTCAGTTTTTCATTTTATTTAGAAATTTTTGCATAACTGTATAAGGATTGAAACTCCCTCATGGATATCTAATTGTTTCAGTAGTATTAATTTAAATGATTACCCTTTCTCTATGAATTGCCTTTGTACCTTTGCTGAAAGTCATCTGTCCACATTTCTGTGGATGTCTGTTTTGTGAGGTAGGATCTTTGACTAGCTTTCCCCACATCCCAAGGCCTGGTCTTGCATCTCCACAGGGGCTGAAGCCTCACACACTCACCTAGGTGGAGGCCAAGGAATCTGGTACTCCAGAAAGGGTCCTTGTCCACTTTGTGTTCTTCTCTCTGCTCCTGTGGAGGTGCTAGGCTCAGGAGTGACCATAAATGTTTGAAATCAGGCCCCAAGTCATGAAGTGTGGCCAGGATGTTAGCAGGACCAGAGACAGAGGCAGGGGGAGTGATGGTTGTGGAAGACTCTACAGAATAAAGAAGGCCAGAGAATCCCTGAATGGCTCCAATGACCAAGGCCTTTCATTCAGGTCTCCCATATCCTCAAATCATTTTGAAGGGCTCCTTGCCTTATATAATATGGGAGTGCCAGCCTTTTGAAAGACACTGTATCCAGTGTCCCCTAGAGGGTATGGCATGCCTGTACCCTGGGCATAGGGGTTGAACAGTGTGCTTCCTGCTGGGATACCTGCTCCCCACCCCTTCATGGAATTTGTGACCAGAAAATTTGTTTGAAGTTTACAGTGTTTAGGATGAAATGAAGGTGAATCAAGTGGTTTCATGCCTGTTGTACAAATATACTGTAAAAGTAAACATGGCCTTTACTCATATCTATTTGTTTCATAATGACCAATCTATGTGAAATTTCTATGGTAGAATTAAACTTCAACAGCTCTAAATGATAAAATTGATTACTTTCAAGGTGAACAATTACAATAGCAAAATAATCCAAACCTTCCCATGTGACTCTTGGTGGCCAGTTTACAGCACACTGGTGTTTCAATCCATCTGACCCCCCTCTGTTCCTATGACAGCTAGATAGGTCTTCAATTATTATTATTATTTTTTGGCCTGAATTCTCAGGTGGCTCATCCCCAGGGTCTTGGCAACAACATTGATTAATGGGCTGCCTGAGGAGCATATAGGACTGTGGTGTGGACATTTCCCTCAGAAATTTTAAGAGCATCCTGCTTGGATTATATGAACTTTCCTATATGTTGGGCCTTCTCTGCTTCCTCCCTCCAGGTCACTACTACTTTGGCAGGGTGCAAGAGGCTATCCAGATATTTAAAAGCCACATGGAAAATTCCAGCACTCAGCATGTGGAGATCCAGATGTTGAAGTGCAGAGTGGAAAATGTCAGTTCTCAGATCCAGGTGCTTGAGGTTTATCTGGGCAATACCAGTGCTGACATCCAGAAGGTCAGAAGTGCTCTACAGGAGGCCAGGGCCTTGAGTCTGCAGACCGAGATGCTAGGAAATTCCTTGCAGGGGGCCAGTGCTGAGATCCAGAGGCTGAAGGGAGATCTGGAAAAGGCAAATGCTTTAACCTTGCAGGCCCAAGATTTTTTTAAAAACAGCTCAGAAAACACCAGTGTTGAGCTCCACATGCTAAGCAGAGGCTTAGAAAATGCCAACTCTGAGATTCAACTGTTGAAGGCGGGTTTGGAAATTGCCAACACCCAGGCCAGCTTGGCAAATAGTAGTTTGAAGAATGCAAATGCTGATATAAACACTCTGAGAGGTCACCTGGATAGTGTCAATGACTTAAGGACCCAGAATCAGGTTTTAAGAGGTAGTCTGGAAGGAGCCCAGGCTGACATCCAGAAGCTAAGGGGAAGTCTGCAAAATACAAATGCTCTAAACTCCCAGACTCAGACCCTTCTCAAAGGCAGTTTAGATAACACTAGTGCTGAGATCCTGATGCTGAGAGGTCATTTGGAAAGGACTGGTAATGAGATGCAGAAGTTAAAAGAGGATGTAGAGAACACCAAAATTCTAACTTCGAAAATCCAGGAGGAGCAGAGTCAACTGGGGACCCTCCATGCAGCCATTGCTTCACTGGAGCAGCTACAAACGACCCAAAGTAAGTGGGAGAGAGAGGTCTGGCTGGGGAGGCAGTCCCTTAGGAGGGTAGAGACTTTTGTTCCTGCATCTTGTCCTTTTCAACCTCAGCATGAATCTCCCAGGGAAGAAATGTGGGTGCTGGACACAGGACTAAATCCAGTGAACTAAGGAGTGGTGGAGGTGGCATGAGGTGACATTTTCCCTGCTCTCAAATTGCTTATAATCTAGTTAGAGTAACAAAATGAATACCTGGGAAATCAATTATATATGGGGAAGCTATGAAACAAGAACAGCTTATGCTATGGGCAGGAGAGCCCCTCTTTTTTCACTCCCTGCTATCAGAAATGGTGTAGTCTTATCTACAGTCATACCACCCTCAACATACCCAAGTTCAGATGTTCTCAGAAGCTAAGCAGGGTCTGATTAGTACTTGGATGGGAGAATTGATGTGGTCTTGAACAACTTGCTCACCTCCTCTAAGCTGTATTATTTTTTAAAAAGTAGAAACAGTATTTGCTTCCTAGCAAAGATCAAAGAAGTTAACAGATATAAGAGAACTTAACAAAGAACATGGAATTCAGGCATCATACTGAGGCCCTATTAATGTTAGGGGTATACAGATGAACAGGACATGCAACCTACTTTGACAAGGTTTCAGGCAGAAGGGCAGACTTGTATGAAGGACATGCAGGCATGAGTAAGAGGGGAGAAGTGAGAAGCAGGCATTGGGTACTGAGGTGAAGGAAGAACAAGAAGGGAGAAGGAATCTTCTGAGGGGTATGAATGGGGGAGATCTTTTGTGAGGAAAGATCAGAAGATACTTGCTAAGAAGATGGTCCTTGAATTGTCTTTATGTATTAATAGATATTTGCCAAACAAATAGGGAAGGACAGTAATAAGTTTACAGGCACGGAAACATGAAACCGAGGCTCTGGAGGCTTCAGATAGCATGACTAGCCTGAGGGAAAGTCATGAGATGCAAGCTGAAAGGACAGTAGGCAGGGGCACAAGCAGTGGCTTTCATAGTGCTTTGAATACAACCATAGCATGAAGTTCATTTTACATTATGACCCAGTGTAAGTATGTACAACTGTGCACACACACACATTTAAAAAAGCAAAACTTTTACTGCATCAATGCATCCTGATATTATCTAATCTATCTTTTATTTAAAAACTTGTCATAATCCACTAGTGGATTGGTGAGTGTGGCTTGAAAACAACTAGAGGGTTAGATGGCTTGGGGAGACAAGGTGGACAGGAAGGGGCTCTGAGCTTGGCTCTCCTACCCTAGGGATTGAGGAGCTACTTCAAGGCTGTAAGGAGGGAGCTCACTATATGGCCTTCCAGCTGAGACAGGGATTCACAGAGGAGTGGGAGCACTCAACTCAAGATTTGACATGCTGAGTCTGGAATGCTTTGGGAGATTCAAGGACGTCATCACAGGCTGTCTAGAGTTCAGGAGAGAGGCTGGGTGCATGCAGAGTTTAGTGGGTCTGGGTGTGTTGGTTCTGGCTGTAGCAATAATGAGGAAATTTGCTTGAGGCAGAATGCACTGTGAGGAGTGGGCTGAGGGTGGAAACAGAGTCAACCTTTAGGAGCAAGATGGGAAGAGGTGTTTTTGAAGGAGACCATCATATGAAATATGGATAATGTGGCAAATATTGAAAATATGAAGGGTGAGAAAACAACCACTTTGTTCCCAAGAACAAAGTATCTATTTTCTATTCGACCCTACTGCTAATGTTTTGGTGAACTTCCCTGGGAGGGCTTTTGTGGATTCTGATAGGCTTGATTTAAGAGTAAAAGGAAGCAGCAAAGAGAGAGATCAGAAAGAAGGAGAGAGAGAAAAGAAGAGGAGGAGAAGAAGGGGAAGAAAAAATAAGAAAAAGAGGAAGAGGAAAAAGAAAGGAGGAGGAGGAGGAGGGGAAGAATGATGAAATGCACAGTTGAATGATTGAAGAGAAGTTTTGGGCCAAATTTGGCCTAGCTGCAATGAGGAAGGGTGTGGACAGAGTGGTTCACCCACTGTGCAGATGTGGAAACAGAAACAGAGGGGTGGCATTAGTGGGGCCTCTTTCAGGGCAGAGTAGGAGACTACTTGCTAAGGGTGAGGAGCACATTGTGGCTGGGAGAGAAGCCCTGGCTGCCAAAGAGATGGGGCTAATGAGGGAGGCTTGACAGGGAGCTTCCAGCATTCATTTGCCTGCTACTCTACTCTGTCTTGTGTTCAGTATGTGAGGGGCCTGCAAGTCTTCCCTTTTCCATGCCCCTCCCAGTGCTCTGCTGTTCTCTTCTGCCCTCCTAAGGCTTCTGACTGTATGGCAGAGATGAGGGCTGCCTTATCTTTTTGGCACATTTTGGAGAATCACCCAGAGTTTAAAAATTGAGCTCTCCAGAGCTTAAATTCAGACTCTAATTCATTTTTTTTTTGAGTGGCAGTAGGTGTCTGAAATGCAGCTCAAGCAACAGGATTTTTTTTTTAAAGTTTCCTAGGTGGTTCTAAAAGCATTCAGGCTAAGAACAACTGATTTAACTTTTTCTTAAAGGGACAAATAATTTATATTTTAGGCTTTTGGACTAAGACATCTGTGTACTGCAGTTTGCCAATCTTTGATTTTCATGATGGGTTCTTGGACCTTGGAGAGCATCAGACTCACCTAGGGGGCTTGTAGGACCAAAGACTGTTAAACCCAACTTCTGACTGAGCAGGGGTGGAATGGGCCTGAGAATGTGCACTTCAGCCAGGTCCCCAGATGATACCGATGTGGCCCATCTGGGAGTACATTTTGGGAACTCCTGTTTACATACTCCTGTCTCTTACTGAGACATTTGCTTTTGTGTTATAATTGATGCTCTGCCTGATTAGAAGTGCCTTCTTCCTGTTCAGTTGCGACCAAGTTAGAATTTTTTACAGTGAAGTCTAAGCTTCTTATGACCCTTCTTAAAAGCTCTTCATGTGATTTAGTGCTGATGAACCTGTCTATTTTATCTCAACCCTTAAACAATGATTATAAGTCATCTGCTCAGTTACTTGGTACCTTGCACCATGCCATTCCATTACTGCTTTGATGCCCAATCTTTCTCCTGCCTGGAATGCGGTCCTGGGCACTGACCTCCTGGAAGAGTCTTCCAAGACTCAGTCTGAGTGACATCCTGTCTTACTGATCTTCGTATGACGGCTCCTGACTCATAGACATTAAAGAATGTTGAACCCAGAACATGAGAAGAAGTGGATGAGTACATGATCCCGGGAAGCTCCATTCTACATAGCTGTGGTACAGATGATGCCAGCGAGCAGGGTGTCCTGGCAGGGAAGGATGAAAGAGCTGAGCTCGCAGGAGCAGTTCTGAGAGTCTGGAGACTGTGAGGTCAGGCAGACCAGGATGGCCCTGGGGCTGGGCAGTTGAAGTGGATGGAGATGAAATCGGGAATCGAGGCTGTGAGAATCTCCCAGGAAGATCACAGTAATGAAGACAGAAGGATGTTGAGTGATCATACTCTCCCAGTGAATTGGGAGAAACAGCAGTACAGCTAGAAAAGGTATTTGGAAACAGTGCTGACTGGTAGTAGAACGAATCTCACAGCGGGGACCGAGTCAGGTGGGTATCTTGGGGCTGCCTCCCAGAGGATGGGTGGTGGGATGGTAGTACAGACTCCCAGATCTTGCTCCTGGAGCACTGAGCATCAAAAATTGCCTGGACTCATGAACCTCAGTAGTCAGAGCTGGGACAGGTCAGAAAGATCAGCTTAGGGACATCTACCATCAGCTTCTGCTTCTCTCTCCCCAATTTTTGTTCCAGATCAACTTCTTCAGCTGCTCCTGCAAGGCTGGAAGGTGTATGGGGGAAACTTGTATTACTTTTCTCATGTCAAGAAGCCTTGGCATGAAGCTGAGCAGTTCTGTGTGTCCCAGGGAGCCCACCTGGCATCGGTCACCTCTCAGGAGGAGCAGGTCAGAGTTGCAGGTGTGGGTTGGGGCTGATGGAGTTTATGCGTGGTAAGAGACTTGGATGTTTTGGCCCTCCTCTTCTTCATCAGAGACCGCCACGTTTCTTTTGTCAGGCAGGGAGCAAATATTCATTGAGTTCTAGTGAGTACCTTGACCTGAGCTAGAAGCCCTGACACTAAGCCCCCACATCCTCAGTAAATGAGGGAGGGCAAAAGAAGGTGGCACCAGGTGACAGCTCCTAACTATCTGGGAGCTTAAATGTTCCCATGTTCTTTGATTTCTGTCGGGCTTCCTTTCTAGCCATCAATCTTGATTTTCATGTCACCTAACCTGGTGGCTACAGAAGGCTCAGGAACAGCAGACTGAAGTGCACCTCCCTGTACCAGACATATACCAAGGATTCTGAGGCCCATCAAAAGCAGTGTGCTCCCTGGAAGTCCATAGGCCAAGGTCCTTATCAGGACAAGTTATTAACAAAGGATCAAAAAAAAGTTTGGTTCAGTTTAACTTACAGAACTGCCCTCTCCTTGTCTTTCATTTGACTGTTGTTACAGGGCAGTGGGAGGGCATGCTACCTTGTAAAACTTATCTCAATAAGCTTCAGCCAGGACCAGCTTTGTCCTAGTAAGGCACATTCTCCCTGAAGGGCAGGGACTATTTAGGAACAGTCTACCAGGGAGAAGCTGGGCTTCTCCTGAGGGTGCCTGGTGTTGCTGTAGATCTTGGGTAAGCTTGGAAGGTGCAGAGCAGTGTCCAGTCCAGCTCCAGCAGACGGGCTTCATGCTGAGGGACCAGGGTGGGGAAGCCTGCAGAATCAGCTCTTTGCACACAGGGTCACGCACAACCCTACCCCTTTTCCATAGGCATTCTTGGTACAGTTCTCAAGTACCTCTTACCACTGGATCGGCCTCACTGACAGGGGTACTGAGGGCTCCTGGCGCTGGACAGATGGGACACCATTCAATAATGCCCGGAGCAAAGGGTGAGTCCAGCCACTGGCTGGCACTGCCCAGGCACTCTCTTTGGTGGGCTCGGCTAGAGACTCTTATAAGTCCCTGCACTGTGTGTGTACCCCACCCAGTGTTAGTGTTGTGTGTGTGGTATATGGTATTTGTGATGTGTGTGATACATGTGTGTGGCATGTTCGGTATATGTGATGTCTGTGTATGTGGTATGTGCTGTATTGTGTAGTATGTGGTGTGTGTGGTATGTGATATGTGTGTGGTGTGTGATGTGTGTTTATGATGTGTGTGACATGTGTATGTGGTTCATGTGGTGTGCGATGTGTGTATGTGATGTTTTTAGCATAGTACACCATGTGTATGTGGTTGTGTGGTGTGTATATGTGATATGTATGTTATGTTTAATGGCCGCAGAGAGATGCCAGGACAGGTCTTGGTGCAGCCTGTGAGTGGGCATTCTTGTTTGTTTGTTTCCTATTCTATGTCCTATTCAGACCCGATCCCGGGGGACCCTGCCCTCCACTGGAAAGCATCTGAGTACAAATTCTAGGGTCGGGCTTGTAGCACATGGGATGCTCCTTTCTGGCCCTGGATCCTCAGTAACTTAGGGTCACTTCAGCAGAGCCTCCCTCAGGGTGTCTATGGCTCAAGCCCTGTCCCAATCCTGGAGCTTGTAGGGTATGAGGGGCAGCTCTTTATGCCCCTACAGGGGGAAGAGACACTTGCTTTGTTGCTCACAGGTTTTGGGACAAGAATCAACCAGACAACTGGCGACATGGGAATGGGCAGTATGAAGACTGTGTCCATATTCAGAAGAAGTGGAATGACATAAACTGCAGTAACTCCTATCAGTGGGTCTGCAAGAAGAAAACAGGCTCTGCAGTGGCCTGAGGCAGCCCAGAGCTGTGGGGCCCTCCTGGCTGCAGTATTGCACCCTCCTCTCTGACACTGAATCCAGCCTGTCATCTGCAGCCTTCCATTGGCTTTTGTTTCCTGCCTCATCCTTCTCCTTTCAAACATATTCACCTCACATGACCCAGTGGGATCAGTCATTCCTCCAGGGAAGAGTCTTGCTGTGCCTCTGTTTTTCTTCAGCAACCAGCACAAGCCTATATGAGAGTAGGTCCTCAATAAAGACTCACTTAATGAACACAAACTTGTGTTTGCTTGTCCCTGTGATGGCTACAACACTCGCTTTTCCATGGATTGCCTTTCCTTCCCTCAATGTTCCTTCTGTCCTGAAACAAGCATCCTGATATGTTGCCTTCATTGGATTAAGCAATGCCTAGCAGAGAAGTAAAGCATGCTCATGGGTGTGTCTGGGTGGATCTTGGAAGCATGGCCTTGGGTCCTAATAGGGTCCCTCACCTGTTCCTCTCTGGCCCTGTTCCCCTGCTTTGCTTCTCAGCTGCTATGAAGTGAGCAGCTGTGCTCCTCCATGTCCTTCTCCATGATGTTTCCTTCTTGGAGCCAGCTGATGATAAATTGAACATGTGAGCCAATTAAACCTAAGTTGTAAGTGTTGGTTATTGTGTCTAGAAACAGACTGGTATGGGCCATAACTTTTAGCTACATTGTTGAAAACAACAGAGGTTCAACACAAACTATAGGAATGAGAAGTTCCTGCAGCCCCATTGTTCTTGGAGTTTCCTTGGGGTGCTGTTAGGGCTAGATCTGGATTTTTCCAGCCTTTTAAACCACTTCAGTAACCTATTTCTCTTTCTCTTCTGTGGGCCGGCCCCATATCATCTTGACTTAACTCTCAGATCCATGTTTCTGGCTCCAGCTTCTTGTGGCTTCCATTTATCATTTCAACCTAGAATGGGAATTTCTGGAGCAGTTCTGCACCAGGCTTGTAACAAGGTCCCTGTGCCTACACAGGGATCCTATCCAGAGTCCCATAGTTCTTTCTTGGCACAGCTCCCTCCTCTTCATGCTCTGCTGCCAAATTCCAAAGCGCTCGGTCTCCCAAACACGCACTTTTCTCTCCTCAGAACAGTGAGAATGTCATGTGCTGTTCAGGCTGATTATATATATATATATATATTGAATGGACGAGGTGATAGTGGACATGTTCCTGATTTTAGGGGGAGTGCTTTTAGTTTTTCCCCATTTAGTATGATGCTGATTATGGGTTTGTCATAAATAGCCTATGTTATATTTAGGTATGGTCCTTATATGCCTGTTTTCTTCAGGATTTTTTTTTATCATGAAGGGGTGCTGGATTTTGTCACAAAGCTTTTGCTGTGTCTATTGATATGATCATTTGGTTTTTGACCTTGCTCCTGTTTGTGTGATGAATTACTTAATTATTTATTGTATGTGATCACTTATGGACTTACATATGTTGAATCATCCTTTCATCTTTGGGATGAAACCTACTTGATCATGATGTATCATCTTTTTGATAATGTGCTGCATTCTATTTGCTTATATATTGTTGAGGATCTTTGCATCTGTGTTAATCAAAGAGATAGTTCTCTTTTTTAGTTGGGTCTTTATCTGGTTTTGGGTGATACTGGCTTCCATAAATGAATTTGGGAGCACTCTATCCCTTTCAATTTCTTTGAAGAGCTTTGGGAGTATTGATAATATAACATTCTTAAAGGTTTTGTAGAATTCAGCAGTAAGTCCATCAGGTCCAGGGCTTTTTTAAGTCAGTAGATTCTTTATTACTAAGTCAATTTCATTACTTGTTATTAGGTTGTTAAGAATATTTGTGTCTTCTTGGGTTAGTTTTGGTAAGTTTTATGTGTCTAGGAAATTGTCCATTTCTTCAACATTGGCTAATTTATTGGAATATAAGTTTTTGAAGTAGTTACTATTGTCTAGATTTTGACAATGTCTGTTGTGATTTCACCTTTTTCATTTCTAATTGCATTGATGTGAGTCCTTTCTCTTGGTGAGTCTAGCTGAGGGCTTATCTATTTTATTTATTCTTTTGAAGAACCATCTCCTTGATTCATTAATTTTTATTTTATAGTTCTTTCAGTCTCAATTTCATTAATTTTTCCTCTCATCTTTATAACTTTCCTCCTTAATTTTGGTTTGGAGCTGGTTTATCATTGTTTCACAAGTATCTTAAGGTTTCTCATAAGGTTATTTATTTGGGCTTGCTCTGTTTTCCTAATGTAAGCATTGATTGTATGTATTTTCCTCTTAGGGCTGCCATCATAGTGTCCCAGAGGTTTTATTGAATTGTACAATCATTGTCATTAACTTTCAAGGAAATTTGTAATTTCCTTGATTTCTTCTGTGACTCATTTGTTGTTCATGAGTATGTTGTTATTTGTGCAGGAGCTTTTGCCTTTTCCAGAATTTATTCTGTCACTGATTTCCATTTTCATTGCACAGTGGTCTTATATATACATGGGATGATTTCAATTATTTTATGTTTACTTAAGCAGATTTTGTGGACTAGTATGTGATCTACTTTGGAAAAAAGTACCATGTGCTGAGAAGAATATATACTCTGTTCTAGAGGGGTGGAATACTCTGTATATATATCCATTAAGACTCTATGTTTAAGGATATGGTTCAGCTCTGAAATGTCTTTTTCAGTTTTTGTTTAGTTGATTTGTCTCTTTGTGAAATGGGGTATGAAAATCCCTTACTGTGATTATTGTTTTAGTTATTTTTCTTGTTGCTGAGACAAAATACCCAAAACCCAAAGTTAAAGGAGGAAAGGTTTATTGTGGCTTAAAGTTTGTAGAGGTTTCACTTCATAGTGGCTGGCTCCAAGACAGGGTGGCATGGCAAAGGGGCATCGCAGAGGAGAAACAGTTCATGACAGGCAGAAGGCAGCAAAGCAGCAAAGTAGTGAAGAAGCAGCAAGCAATAACAACAGCTCTCTTTCTGTCCTTTATATTCTATCTAGGCTACATGTCCTTAAGGTAGCTACATAGCACTCACACCCAAGATGGGCCTTCCCGTTATCCATATCCAGAATTATTCCAAACCAATCAGTGGTCTAATTTAGTAATCACACCTTTGATCCAAACATCACACATTCAATACTAGCATCATACACTCTAGATTCAGCTACCTCAGAAACACCCCATCTATAACTGCATGAGGCTTTAGGGGACTATCTAGACACAAACCATAACAATTGTATTACTGTTTATTTGATCTTTTAATTTCAGCCTTTTTGTTTTATGAAGATAGGTGCTCTAATATTCAGTACATATATGTTTATTTATGTTATCACCTATTGTTGGATTGTTCCTTTTGCTAGCATGTAGTTACCTTATTTGTCTCTTCAGTTTTAAGCTTACTATGTCTGATATTAGAATTGCTTGTTTTCAGAGTCCTGGTGCATGAAATGTTTTTCATCCTTTAATTTTTAGTCTATGAATATCTTTTTGGATGACTTTCTTGAAAGCAAGAGATTGCTGGATTCTGTTTTTTCATCCAGTATGCTAATATTTTGATTGGAGAGTTGAGGCTGTTAACATTGAAAGATATTACTGAGACGTATTCATTCTTTATCTGTTGGTATATTTGCTTTTTCTTTTCCTGAAGGCTTCTGTTGCTGTTTATCCACTGACTTCACTAGTTTCCTCTGTGTCTTTAGCTGTATCCAGTTCATTGTTTCTGTCAAGAATATTCTTGAGTATTTTCTCTAGAGCAGGTTTATCACTCATGTATCTTCTGAGCCTGTCTTTTTCATGGAATACCTTATTTCTCCATCTGTTTTGAAAGATAGCTTTATGGGGTGAGTTAATCTGGGTCAGAAATTATTTGCTCTTAGGGCTGGAAATACTTCATTCCAAGTTCTTTTTTGTGGTACCGGAGATCGAACTCAGGATCTTGTGTTGTGAGGCAGGCAGCAAAACCACTGAGCTAAATCCTCAGCCCTATTCCAAGTTCTTATGGCCTTCAGAGTTTGTGCTGAGAAGTCTGTTGGGATTCTAAAGGATTTACCTTTATTGAAACTGGATTTAATGAGGATATTCCTTGGTGAACTTCTTTTGCCACAATTGTTTGGTGTTCTGCAAGCATTGCTTACTTGTATTTTAACTTTTTTCTTATATTTGGGAAAATTTTTTTCATAATTTCTGTAAGCATGTTAGTGAATCTATTTGGTCCATCTTCTAGTTCTTCTCTAAATCCATTTTACTCTAGAAAGGTCTTTTTGTTTTCATCTAGTAGCTGATGGATGGTCTCCTCTTGTTCTCTTATTATCTTTTTGGCTTACTTGAGCTCTTTACCATAATTTACTATTTTGTCTTCCATATCAGACACTTTTTACATTGGTCATTTTGCAATGTATGAATTCTATACTGTTTTTTATTTCAGGTGTTTACATCTGACATCTTTTTGAAGATTTCGTATTCTTGACGAATCTGTTGTCAAATTTTGAACTGCTTTGATTGGCTTATCCAGTTTACCCATTTCCATGAAATTTATTATGGGCATATTGAGTGTAATGGCTGAATTTTTGGTTCATTTCCTTTTGGAACTCATCTATTTTCTTTATCCCTTCTAAGAACTTTTCATAGATTTCTGCTACTTGGTATGTTTTTTTCTCCCTTTGTGACCCTTTGCTCTACCTTGGGATAATTGGGGGTGGGTTTGGAGATCTTCCATTTTCTTGTTTCCCCATTTTCCTACTTGTATCTGAAAAAATATATATTTAAATTATATATACCCCCTTCTCTTTTCCTTCTCCAGTTTTTTTTGGGGGGGTGTTACTGCAGGGTGGGTCTAAAGAAGTGAGGAGAGTTTGTGGCTTATATGGAGATTTTTAGTAGGATATTGCCTCCCTGTGAATAATTTTCACTTTTGTATGTTCAGTGCTAATACTTACTTCTATTATTTACTTTAAGTGATTTTGACTTTGACCTTCTGTTTTGCTGAATCACTTCTATTTATAACAGCACCCACAGATTCAATCTTACACTACATCTGTATGATAGTCTTTGCAGTTATTCTTCTCTCTTTGTCTGTTCTCTGTACACACTATGATAGTTAATGATTTGTCATTGCTCTGTAGAGAGGTAGGTGAGGTTGGGTGGGGAGAATGGGAGGTGGTTGAATGAGTAGTGTTAGGCACTAAGGGAGAAGTTGGAAAGGGAGAATAGTGGTAGATGAGAATAAAAGATTGATGTGGGGTCTAATTTTATTGGAGGACTTTTAATTGAATTG